CCATATATGTTAAATCTATAGATCCTTTTTATAAGTAATGAAGAAGAACACTTGTTTAAATCTGTATCTTCATGTTTTTCGAAAAGGATGGCTCTATAATACTATAATTGATGCTTTTTTATTTAAAATATTAAACAGTTATGAAGATTTTGCCTTTGTTAAGTCTAATTTACAAATTCCTAAACCAAATTTTTGTATTAAAGATCCATTACTAACAAGATTGAAATCAGCGAAATTATTTTTTATCCCTGCAAATTTAAATTGTCATTGGATATTAATAATAGTAAATATTCCAGATATGGTTTTTGAATTTTATGATCCACAAAATAAATCATGTGGGCAAGAGTATCAAATTTTAATTCATACATGGTGTGAGGTTTTAGCTAAAATATTTGCTACTAGCACTAAATGGAAAATAATTTGTCCTTCACATATTTTGCAAACTGATAATATGAGCTGTGGTGTTTTAGTATGCTACTATGCTTATCAGAGGATTAAAAATCAAAGTTTAAATACGCCAGTTAATATAACTGAATTCCGGAAATTGATATACAAGCATATAATTTTAAGTGATTGATATATTTAAAGAAATTTAAATTAAGAAATGTTTTTCAGGACAGCATTCCATTCCTTTGGTGATGCTTGAAAAATATAAAGTATAATGGACAAATATTTTGCAATTCATCTGTTGCCATACAGTTTCTATAAAAAAACTTTTTTTTTTTAGTTTGCTTTATTTTGTAATGATGTTATATGGCCAATAAACAAATAAAAATGCTTATGTTTGTATGTAACTTGGTAGTATAAGAGAAAATTGTTAAAGTAGGCAACAATGAACCCTTTTGGCCAGGGTGATACCCCCAATTGTGGATAATAGAGAATAGTTCATTTTATGTTAACAATGCATTCTCGGGGACCTACATGCCAAAATTTTCTCTTATTTTTAAAGAGGAATAAGAGAATTTGTACTTAACACTTCATCCCATTGACTGTGAAGGATTTCCTCAGGAATGATTAGTGGTTCTGCACCAATTTTCATGGCCAATGGGATAGTATGCAAGTACTGCAAATTTTTCTGTTCATAAATAATCTCATATCTGATCATTTTTAATATTTCAGGCTTATGTTTGCAAAATGAATAGTGCATTGTTTTCAGTGATCTTGGCTGTTTCACAATTGAATTTAGTCTTCTTTATTTTTCAGTAAACGATTGGCAGGAATCTGGTATGTATTTAAAAGTCAAGAGCAAGCTCTGCCAGGAGAATTTTCTGAAACTGAAACTCATAAATTTTTGAGTAATATGGTTGAATAATAATATTTATGCTCTAGTCAAGGAATTTTATCTGATATGTCTTTATTTTCAGAAATAAAAGATGAATAAAGTCTGGGGAAAAAATTATCCATTGTTGAATTATTTTTTACTGAAAATTACTCCACATATTAGGAATTAGTCATATCTATGAAGCATAATATAAGTAGTGTTTCTTACAAGACATTGACTAATACATTATCCCAATTTCTTCTTAAATAAAATATATTTTCATTCTTTATTTCATCATCCATGATATCAATTGATTTTCATTGATTAAGATTAAAAAAACACTATAGTCACTTAAAAATGTGGACACTTTTTTTTTTTTCCTGGTTAATAAGAGTACTTGCATATTTGTTAAGTTTCAGTACGTAAAGCTGTATACAAATTAAACTTTCACACATTCCAATATCAAAAGAGCTACCAATAATTAGATATTTTAATTTTTCAACATTCAAAAACAAAGAAATAGGAGTGAACTTGCTGCTAATCAAAAAGATGAATATACTGGTCTTATAATAATTATGAAAAATGAGTGCTAAAGTTACAGCCCATTTTTTAATTTTTAACTATTTATTGCAAAATAAGGAGGCTTAAAAGTTTGTGTGTCAGGCAAAGGGCTTGTGGTCTTTCACACAGAAGAGTGTAGCCAGACTTATATTAAAGCATTCAGGAAATTAAATAATTTTAATTCTAGAATAAGTCTTATCGTTACTTAATAGTTAGATAATGCCTATTATTATTTCCTGTCATTACAGAAGTACTTGCTGAAATTTCTTTGTTTCCCATTTGCATGGATGGTTTCAAAGAGTTGAATTTTCTGCAGAACTCTTAATATCCATAAATTGTTTGACACATTAAAAATAAGTGAATATTTGCTCTAAGCATATACATGTATTTCATTTAAATTTAATAATAATAGCATATACATAAAATCCAGATTTGATTTAAACATTCATAACTAAAGAACAAACACTGCTTTTACAAAGACCATGTTTTCTCCCATTTTGCATCAGTTACAGTTATTTTCATGCACATGAGTATATTTTGAAGTGTTAAATTAATTATCATTTCTATTCTTGGATGCTCTATGACTGAGAAAATAAAACTTAATGCTAATCTGATATCTAATTATTAATCTACTAAACCAAAATAATGAGGTTCTATAGTGCATGAATTGGGCAAAAGTGTGCAGTTAAATTCAAACTTGTAATATTCTGTAGCAACCATTTGAAGTCACATTTCCTAATGTTTTCATTAAACGGAAAACTTTACAATTCTAACACATTCATAAATCTCTTAAATTTGTATCATAATATAGTAGGAATGGTTCTTGGAATTAAGTGTTAATTATTTCATCAATGTTGAACTGTGCTGTTTTTCTCTCACAGCATGAATAAATGTGACTGATTATAACAGCAACTAATATTGTGATATGCAGAATAGGGGTGTAAAAAGCCTACAACAAGCAATTTTAAATATTGGGTCTAGTTGAGCACTATTACAGATTGAAAACGTCAAAGTGTCAAAAGTATATGGAATAAAACCTGCATTTTTAGAAAATGAGAGGTTTCATAAATGAATACTGTAATGATATACGTAAGGAACCAAAAAATATTTTTTAGATACGAGATACTGTTCTGTATTGGTGTGTATGATTTATACTGAGAAACATGACACAAAAATTTAGATCATTTCAGATAGGATTTCACCAGAATATTTTTGTGTTATGGTATATCATTTGTGTATGTGGAAGTGATCTGTTCAAGATATAACTGTATTTTCATGCCAAAGATTACACCTGCAAAACATGAAACATATCCTATGAACTTTGCAAGGTATGAGCGAAACAAAAAATAAGAATTGGTTTTGTTGGTGCAAATTAAATGCATTATACAGTATCAAGTATATACCAAACATTTTCCAGATTTTCTAAACTGGTAAGTAAAGACAAGAATACGTCCAAGTACAGTTTTAAAATACTACTACATATAAATAAAATTGTTGTGAACTGTTGAAAAAACTACAAAAAAAATTTAGATTTTACTATGTTAAACCACGTTGTGTGTTTATGGAGTATAAAAATTAACCGTGGCTTCATCACAAACTTAATATATCTATAAAAAAGATTTTGTACTTTTTAAAAAACGTTACCATAGGTTCAATGCCATATAAGGTATTTAAAGTAGTGTTGTATTATACATAACAGCCAAACAGATGTGATTAGGGAACCTAGAAACATTTGTATAGATATAATTATTATATTCTTGTCTGTATTCATAAAAATGCTACAGTTAAGAACATGACTGTTATCTTTAATAAAATTCTGAAATAATTCAAAAGTTTCATATGTGCAGAGGGATATTTCTAGATCCTCTATTCAGGCATAATAATAGTTGTGTTACCTTTTGGACGTGAGATCCGAAGGCAGGAGTGCAGAATGGATGCATTTTGTACCAAGAATGGTAGTTACTAAGCACTGGACGATCAGATTTCTAAAAAATTTTGAAATCAAAGAGAACTTTTTGTACCTTAGGTGCAGTGACTGCTAGAAGCAAACCACGTAGTCTGTGAATAGATGTTCCAAATCTTCAGTTAATGTGAGGCTGTTTCCATGAGAAAGGTAGCCCCTACATAATTTATAACATTCGATCCAAAAAAAAGTTAAAGCTTGGTTGTCACTTGTTAACAAACAGATTCACTAGTACAGAGTAGTGCACTAAATTTAAATAGCATTTTTAATTAAAATTATATTGAAGAACATGGATGCCTGCCAATGTTGTTTCATCGCCAGAGACCTACAAGTTAAAGATCCCTGATATGTGATATTGCAGTAAATTTAGATACTTTTTTTAAATTAAATCCAAGAATACTTGTACCCATGAAGATCACTACTGGCCTATGAATTGGCAGCCAGTGGAGATGAACGCCTACCTAGTTTACCCCGCGAACGGGCTGGCTGCATGGGCGTTTTCGTGGTTTTCCCCATGTGTAACGTGTATACGAGCCAGTTTCCCTTAGAAAGTCCTCCACGAAGGCATCCCTCCCCTTAGGCAGATAGCCCTCGAGGCTTTGCCATAATCACACACACACTACCTAGTTTACCGGTGTAAGACAGTGAAAAAAGGACTGAACAGATTTTAAAACTAAACTAAAGAACAGCAGTGCCCATTAAAAATATTGATGGTTATTGGCAGTCAGCCAAAAGGTTTCAGATACTGCAGATAATTTAATAACCTACATAACATAACACTCCAAAAATTTTGGAAAGAGTTAATGACTTAAAACAACAAAGTACCAGTTTTTATGAGAAACAACCAGTTCTTTGAGAAATTTTTGTTTAAAAATTGGAAGGTCTCTGCAAACAACAATGAAGAGATTTTAGAGAACTCTAATTCATACACTTTTTTCTTTGTCACAAAAAATATTGACATCAAGTGATTCCTCTTAAAAAAAGCAGAAAATATAGCTCTGAACAGAAGTACATTTTCAGTATTGATCTCCTTTTCTAGAAAACCATTGTGATTAGGAAAGGTATTATCATTTTCTTCTAAATAATGATCAAGGCTGCAGTATGCCATCCTCCCCCAGAAGTTTGCGTAGGTGATTCGTTAGTGCAAAATTCTGGCGATTTCGTTCGTTTTGTTTGATTGCAGCTAAACATTCAAGGGCTATCTGACTAAAGGGAGGGATGCCTTCTTGGAGGACTCTTTAAAGGAAACTGCCACGTATATACGTTACACATGGGGAAAATCAAGAAAACACCCCATGCAGCCAGCCCATTCTCCGAGATTCGAACCACGGGCCGAACTATCAGTGTTCAGTGATTTTACCGCTCGGCTGCTGATGGGCAAATATAGTAAAAAGCATTTTTTAATATATAACGGAACATTATTGAAATTCTGACTTTTCCAAGTTTTGTTTTTTGGATTTCTCAATGCCAAACATTAAATGCCCTGCTACAACCTCTATTACAAAGAGTAAGAAGGGAAACTAATAAAAGACTTAGTCAACGAATGCTTCAGCATGGAATTGCTAATATTCTGAGACTAGGGTTTCCCTTATATGTCTTAACTAAAGTTCTCTTCATAGGGTTCTGTTATGATTTTAGATATGTATCTAGGAAGTCTGTCTGATGACGTAGGAATACAGATTTGTGGTTTCTGAACGCCTGGACAACAGATCAGTAACGGCCTTCACAGTATCATCTATTTTTACACACCTTACTTTTTCATTCGTAAGAAAAGCTAGAGAGGGAAACAAGTTTAAGTCTCTCACTCTTAAAGAAACCTTGGAACTCTAAATATGTCCAACATTCATATTCCTTTAAAAGACGCAAATATTGGGAATGGATCACTCTAGATTCTAAATGTATAAAATGATAGATGTAATGGCGTACATATAACCAGATCAGTGCTGTGAAGTAGCCTTTTAAGTTTGTAGATATGGGTTTGCTATCTATCATTATGGAGGCATACGCAGTGACATACTTAGTAGCTCTGTTTATATATTTAAGTTCTTATCCTTACTTCCTCAAAGAGGATCATTAAAATCATCGGTTAGAACGAATGATGCAGATAAGTGCTATCTTAAGCGTTTTCGGTTGATATTATCTATGAGTCCATTAGAAGGCAGGTAAAATCGATACCAGATATATAATATCAGTCTGTACAGGTTGAAGACAGTAGTGAGCCAAACACATAGATGTTCCAGAAGGAAAGCATTTTTCGTCGGACATCGAAATGCACAATGTACTGGCAGTCAGCCTGTCCAGTTCTGCAAGAATTGATAGGTAGTGTATCTGTGGAGCCTGCCTTAGCAACCATACAGAATATAGTAAATTAAATAATTCGGGAATTTACAATGAATAAAATTCATTTATTTTTCAAATAATTCTTATACGTGAGTAGTACCGTCTTCGCGAGATGTCAGAAGACAGAGAGGGACGGTGAGGATGTCAAAAGGATTTGGAGTAGACATCTCATCTCGGAAACTGCACCACTATGAAAAGGAAAGCAAAGGCGATGAACATAGGTCAATGAGAAAAAGGGAGCAGGCAAAGAGGTAATTAGGATACGTGTAAAACG